TTTGATTTGGCTACTGGTTTTTTGGATTGATTTTCAAGTACCATTTTTCTAAATTGAGATGTCATTTGTCCAATTTCATCTACTTTTGATTCTATTCTATCAATTCTAGTGGATTGGTTTGTTCTTTGAAAAGGTTTTTTAAGATAATGTGAATCTAAATCTTCATTACTATATATACCTAAATCGTTAAAGTATTTCGCTTCATAATAATTTTTATAATCTTCTTCTGTTTTTAAATTTGATGGGGGGCCTCTTGGCTATCTAACCGGTTCAATGGTTTGCGGAACTGGTGCCTGTATTTTCTGCGCTTTTTGTGATTGGAGTTCCTTTCTTAATTTTGCTATCTCAGCATCATAATTGGATTTTTGTTTCGCTAATGCCTCATCAATCATTTTTTGTGTATCAGGTATAGGAAATATTGATTGCGGAATTATAGGAGCTTCTATTATTTTGGTGTTATAGGAAGATTGTTGAGAAACTTGACCATTCAAATTTGGTGTACGCTCTAACCACATATTTTTTAGTTCGGTGAAAAATTCATTAATGCCTCTTGGATTAGCAATTCTCATCCAAGTATAAAAATCACCTGTCAAATGGCTTTTTAGAAATCCTAAAACTTGTTCATCATTGTCTGCTACTCTTATTATTAATGGTCGAATTCTAGCTTCATAGGTATCTGGAGTATCATAGGGCTGATATTTTTCCTGAGTCAATCTTTGAATAGCTGATTGTTGATTTCCAACGGTATCCCGCTGGTATTTTGCTCTTAACCAATCTCGTAATGTATCTGGACTATTGATATTAACTGCAGGATTTACAAAATTATTTTGAGCTGGTACTGGAGCATATTTTCCACCCATCATAGATTTTAAAATATTACACTTTACTGCATTGTCAAAATCTCTCGCATTTGCATTCTCAAGAACCGTAATATGTCCTTCAAGATATGCCCATGATTGAATAACTTTATCCAAGTAATCATCAGGTGGTTCTTGACCTATATAAGGTTGAAATCTTGCAAAAGCGGGAGACAATAATTTTAATACTGGTAAATGTCTAATCTCAGCCATATTTAATAGTGGATTATTCTGTAGCAATAAAATTTGTTCTTGTAAATTTAAAATTAATTGCTCAGAATTTCTTGCACGAGTTTTCCATTTACCCCATTTATTATCTAACAGCAAATCACAAAGAAATAAATCATCTTGGCATATATCCAATCTAAGTTGTAGATCCCTACCATGTGTACGACATCTTTGTAACTGTTGAAAATATTATCAGTTTTTAAAATTAAGTATAAGTTTTTCAAGCAATAAAGTATCAACACATTTTTGCATCCCCCTTTCTAATTGCTTAGCAATTCCCCACCAGCGACGTCGCTCTTCTTGTTCATTATTGAAAGCTTGGATAGATAAATCTCGTTCCGCTTCAACATTTTGTAGATTATTGTTTTTACGGCATATTTGTCTTGTAACTCTTTTTATTTGATTAAATAAAATCTCTCTATTTGTTCCTGGATTATCCAAATATCCATCTATAGTATCGGCTAACTTGACTATTGTTGACATTTCTTCTGATATATTACTGTCTTGTGAATTTTCATTAGATTCATTTTCAGATATTATAACATTAGAATTCCATATTTGTGAATTTTGTAAAGCTTCTTAAGTATTTATAAGTTCTAATTTATCCTGATATCTTAATAATGCTAATGCAAAATTTTGACAATGTAAATCAGTTATACATGCTTTTTGCAGATCTATTTTATTATTTCTATTTATAAGAATATATTGTAATTTACTTATTTCACGCTTAAGATGCTCATTTTCATCTACTAATTTTGATATATAATTCAATGCCTTGGGAGTATTACCTGCTGATTTGGATATTTTTTGAATTCTGATTTTTAATTTTTTTTTCACATTCATCGAATTCCGTTATTAACTTATTCTTAATAGATATTTTTTCATCTTTTTGTTTATTTTCTTTTTCAAGTTGTCGAACAATTCTTTTTAAATTTATGATTTCTTTTATCATTTCATTTTTTTCTTCATTAGAAAGTTCGATAGTATTTTCTAGTTCCTCTTCAAGAAATCGGATTCTTTCTTCACGTATAGCAATAGCCCTTTCTAAAGTATATACTCGTTGTTCTATGCTCCTATTTGATTGGGCTAAACGCGATATTTCCTCATGGAGCTCCTGATTAGCTTGTCTTAATTCTTCCATGTTTTTTTTATTAACTATAATAGATTAGAAACGAAGTTTCATTGTTTTTCAATAAGTAATGAAACAACCTGTAATTTATATTGATCCACAGAAGGCCCATGAATTGGATAGGGAGATTGCTAAATTTAAAGAAATAAAAAACTGAAATTTAGCGTTACGGAAGTTATATTATGAACCTGAGGGGTACTATCGGACTGTAGAAAAAATGCATAATGCATCATGTAAAGCTGGTTATAATTTTTCGTTAGCTGATATAAAAGATTGGTTAAATAGACAAATCATTTTTTTGGTTCATAAATCTTGGCCGAAAATTATTCAGTATGGTTCTTTTAATAATATACAAAGATTAAATGAAATGCATCAATCTGATCTTACTTCTATGCCTCATGATAAAATTGGAAATCGAATTTTCAAACATAGGGGTGTTATAAAAGATATAGCAACTAGATTTCATAAAAGTTGCGCTTTAACTAATAAGTCTTCTGTATCATTAGCTAAAATGTTTAAAGCAATTTATGATAATCCTAATAATCACCTTACATGGCCAAAAGTTTTAATAGTAGATAAAGGCACTGAATATTTAGGTGAATGTAGAGATTTATTACTTAGTCATGGTGTAAAAATTATACAAGCTAAATCTAAACGTAGCACATCAATAGTTGAACGTGATCATCAAGAATTTGAAAAACATGCCTATATTCGTCAAGATGCTATAGATTTTCTTTTACCATTAACTGAGAGATGTCGAGCATGAGTTAAGGGACTTCGTTTAAATGATGATATTTATAATGATACTCCTACCCGATTAATTTATATGTCACCCAATGAAGCTTTAAAGAGAGCATTAAAAGGTGAAAAAATTATTGCAGATCCATCTGTAAAACATCGAAGACCTATTGGATTTAATGAATCTCGATTAACTTATAAAGATTCAGTTTTATATTTACTTGAACCTGAAGAATTAGAATTTGGAAAAAGACGCATAACTGACATGAACTAGTCTCCAAAAATTTATCGTATTAAGGAATCACTAATACAAAAAAATCAACTGGTATTATACTGGCTTATGGATGAAAATGGTGATGGACCTGAGCGATCATTTGTGAGAGAACAACTGATGATAGTTAAAAATATTGAATATCCACCGAAATGGATCCTAAAAGAATGTGTTCCGTTCTTACTCATCTAAAAGCACATCATCAACAGCTTCCTCAATTTCTGTTTCAGTCATAGGTTGATCTTTTTTGGATAGTTCATAATAAAGATTATATAAATCTTCTACACTAGTAAGTAGCTCCTTTTTACCTTGATACCATTTTCTATATCGTGTCATTCTTTTATTATATGCTTCATCATTTGGAAATAGTGTTATTGCTGTATATTTTATATATTCATCTTGATTTTCTGCATTACGTAAATTTTTTACATATCCAGCATATTCACTAATAAGCTTACTATCTTTTCTATATCGAAGACGAAATGCTTCTTTTATTATTTTAATTTGTGCTGATTCAATCATTTTCCATGTAATATCATGCATTGATAACTCTGAGTCCTGCTTATTTATTAAACTTGAACTATTATCAGTCATACTTTGTATTTTGTTTTATATAATATAAGTTTTATTTAATATGCATTTTATTATCCGACCTTTTCATGAGAAAAAAAAAGATAAATATCTCCTAAATAAGATTTATAACTTATTTATTAATCTCAATTTTCGGATATTTGCTCACTAATTGTTTTATTATTTTATCCGTTATTCATTTACAATTTTGTATTTTTATAGTTTTTATACTTGTACATTTTTCTGGTATATTTAAAACAGTTTTTGGCGCTATATGATTATTTCCATAAATAATTATATGCTTTAGATTTTTGCATGTATCTGATACCATATTTAGCAAACTATTATTAAGAAATCTCCAATCACAATCTTTAAATGATATTGTTATTATATCCTGGCATATATCTATAATTTCTTCTAAATAAAATTCATCCTTTCGAATTCTATCTGTTTTATATATTTTGTTACATTCAGTAATGGTTTCTTTTTTACTAATTCTACAAATTTTGTGATATTATATCTATGTATTATAATTCTTCTCCATATTAAATATGATGCACATTTATTCCATCATTTGTTAACATATAAAACTGGAAACAATAATTCATTATTACCACATAGGCTATCATTTTGTATTCGTAAATGTTGTAATATTTCTATTATAATTTCATTCAGAAGATTTATATCGAATCTTTTTGGTGGTTTTCTTTTTACTACTAACTTTGTATTCTGCTTCTTATCTTGTATTTTTTCAAAATTTGGCAAACTATTTGTAATCAAATTTGGAATTTCTGGGTAAGGTGGTTTCCATGTAACTGTTATACAATTTTTTACTGTACAAATTCCTCTTTTTTCAAGTTTTAACTTACCTATTTCTTTACCTGTTTTGAGATTCACTCGTCCAATTACTATAAATCCATCAGTATGAATTCGTTTTACTTAATTTCCTAAAGGTTTTACAATTTCAGAAATTGTTTTTCTAGTTGAAGCTAATAAAAAGAATTTTATTCTTGAGTGTGTTCCATAGTTTTGTCCATTCCTTTGCTCACATAATACACCCCATAATGAAACTAATAATGCTTTACTTACTTTTCCAGCTATTCCGCCTTCTTTTTTAATATTATATAATATATTTCCCCATTCTCCAAACATGTCTTTTTCTGTTATACGTACATTTCTTTCATAAATAATTACATTTGGTGATTCATTTATCAAATATACTTTTAAACCATTTCTTTTAGCACTCTCTAAATCATAATGCATATAAATTCCATGTGAATTATATCGCAAATATCTTGTACATTGAAAACTTTTCTTTGGCAAATTTCCTTCTTTTGTTGCTTTATAAATTCCATATGGAAATTTAGTCCATTTTTCTACTAAAGATACATCTATAGTATGAAACTTACCTGATGTAACAGGCCATGATGCTTCTTTCTTTAACATTATATATATATACATCGAATTTACATCATATTGAATAGCTTCTCTTTCATATTTTTCTGCAAATATTAGAGCGCCTGTTGACGCTAAATCTATCCAAGCCTTCTCCTGTTTACTTATTTTTCCACTTTTTAATGGTGCTAAAGTAGTTTCTTTGAAAAGTTTTATAGTTGTTAATGTATAATCTCCAGATTTACGCATATTAATTCTACCATTAGTTTTTTTAGAAATAGCTTCAGACTCGTCAATAATTCTTGTATATGCTTCTATACTTGTTTCTCTATTATCTGCTTTAATAAAATAATATTTATTATATAATATATAAAAGTCGTCTTTAACACCATACCATTTTCTTTTTCCATCATAAAATTCAAATCCATTTGATATATTTTTAAAAATTAAGATAGTTTTATTTTGCTTTGTAGTAGATTTTATTTCTGGGTCGACAGGCGGCACATTTTCTTCTCTCAGCTGGGCTGGCTGATGCATTGGTTGGCTTTCATCAAATGAAATGAGATCGTTTTCTGGAGCTGGTGCTGGATTTTCTATTGAGGCTATAGCTGGATTTCCTATTGGAGCTTGAGTAAAATTCTTAGGTCGGCAAGGATTTTTTCGATTTAAATGTTGTTGATATTTTTGATAAGTGGAAAGATTTAGATCGCATCTATCACAAGTAGTATTTTTAACCATCGTGTATAAAAAGTATTATATATTACTTTTATAAAATCTTCACTTTAATTAATTATTTATCCTAATCAAATATGATCAGTGAATATACCTGCCAATATATACATAATTCTGGTAAAATTTGTAATGGTCCAAGTACACGTCCTGAGAGATGTTGTCTTCATTATAAATCAAAAAAACGTGTATTTTGTACTGATTGTGGAAAACCAACTGCTTCTGGTTGTGAACGATGCAAAATTTATAAAAGAGGATATTATGTTACTCGATACTATGATAGGCTTCGATCAAATATACAAAAAAGACCTTATGATGATATAATTAATATTGTTAAAGTTATGCTTGCAAATATGCGAGAAAAAACTTATAAGGAAATAATGAATACTTATAGAGATGAGCTTACAATTCTTAATGTTACTCTTTGCAAAGAATGTCTTCATCCCATAAATATAAAAGAGGAAGAATATTGTGATAGTTGTTTGTTAGATTCAATACTATAATAAGTTATATGCTAGGGCTTCAAAAATTTTGCTATGTATTTTTTTGGTTAAATTGATAAATTTTGGTTAAAAAATCGATATATATATCTATATATAGAAGTTATCAGGAATGAGTTAAAAACTTGAAAATCTATT